CTCACCTCCGGACCGAAGAACGCACGAGATACTCTCCAAGTGAGAAATGTGCGTGCTCGCTGAAGAAAATTTGGTTCCAAAAATCGCTGTCTACTGCCTGTTATTCAAGCACGCCGTCGACGTACTATGTATGGTGTTGAGAATGATGAGCGGGTTTCAGTTGTTGTGTGGACTGGACTTTATATGGATGTAGGTCTTGAGTACGTCGAGTTATAGACACAATCGGATCTTCGGCTACACTTTCACTTACAGTAGCAATATTTGAGAAGGAACGAGGCAAAACGACCAATTGCTTGTGTAGTTTGACGATTATGTGCACCATAATCTCCCCTCCAAGCACGAAACTTGGCTAGGCTTGGGTCAGTATTTTTGTTACTACATATTTTAAGGCGTTGTACGGTTGTTAAGCGATCCATTTTCCTAATTGGCTGACATTTAATTGAAAAAAAAAAATCTTTAATTTGACAATTAAGTTTGACAGCTGTCAAAAACTGTCCTATACTTTTGAAAACACGTAGTGTGTACACCTATTAACCTAAAAAACAAGATTTTTCTTAACCTGTAAATGAGTCACCCTATACAATTGCATTTTTTTCATTGTACTAAAGTTTTTTTTTTGTTTATATCAACATTCACTTACTATGTATTTTTATTTATTTATGAAGTATCTATGTGCATACATATGTACATATGTATGTGTGTACTTGTGTAAGTGTGTGTATTTACTTTATGTAAGCTATATTGCAATTAAACGATAACGTTGATGAGTGTTGTTGTTTTGATAATTCATATCAGTTAATCGTTTTTAAATATTTATATAAATATGTATGTGTATGTATGTACGTACATATGCACATATTTATACGAGTATACATAGGTGTCAGAAGTGTGATCGCTTTCAATGTATTTGCTTATAAACTATTTATACAATTACAAAATTTAAATATTTAATCAAGCGATAAAGAGCTTAGGCAAAGCGTTGACTGTTTCGAAATGCGGAAATTAAAAAAAAAAATAAAATTAAACTATTTTATTGCACCAACATTGCAAGTGCATTGCGGTGGGTATTTGCATAAGCTGATTGTGCGATTTTTTTCTTTTCAAATGGATTATATGTATGTACATATACATATGTATGTTCATTGGCGCTTGTTGGCCGATCTCTTCTACCAATTTTCAGTGACGCCTTTGATTTTAGCTTAGAAATACACAGGCAGGCGTCGACGGTCTGTCTGGGAGCAACGCAATTGAAATTTATCTACAATTTGTGAATACAGGTCTGGACAGCATTCGAACCCATGACCCTCTACCTCGTAGCACGCAACGTTGACAACTCGACTGCTACGGCCGCCTATAACTTAAAACCCAAAATTCCTCATAGAAAATAATGGCACTCTAATCGAGAGTATTGAGATATGAACGGATGGCTTTACGGACAACAGTCAGCTAAAGATTGAGACTCCTAGACGCTGCACAATGCTTACCAGACAAGACACGACCAAGCAGATTCTACCCTATGTAGAAAACAATGATATGTGCTTTACGACTGGTACTCAAAGAACATAGTTATGAGCAAGCCTTATATAGACCTTCTGCGACCTCCGTAAATCTAAACAACTTGTCTGAAATGGAATTGGAAGAGGTTATGTGGAATGTAGAGGATATCTTGAAGATAGTAGGACTCCTAAGAGGCCATTTCCACATAGGACGAAATGCGGAAAAGCTGGCAGTAGATACCGCAGTAGCGGTACGAAAGATGAGATGAAAGAAATCATTTCTCATCCTTTAAGTGACTGCCCTCACTTGGACAGCGCTAGGCTTAGAGTTACATTCATTGTTGATTTGTCTATGGTGGACTGAGTTAACGCATCGCCACTTAAGTTGCCTGCGCTCTAGATTTACAGAAACACAGTGCGCCACCTCTCCAATCGGCAAACTCAGAGTTTCGACAACAAAAGTCGCGCTGTACCAGCACAGTCATGGCAAAAGTCTGGGTAAATAATATACATATTTATGTGTATGTACATATAATAAAATTGGTAAAGGAATCGAAAAGGATGGAATGTGAGTAAAAATGGGGGGGGGCTTACATCGTGGTAGATACGGACCCAAGAAGGTCCTCCGAGATAGGCACACCTACCCAACAAATTTAAATTACATACCTACATATGTATGTATATATGTATATTGAATATATGGTATGTGGTTTCTCCCATCTCCGCTATCCATTTAATATTGTATATATGTATGTGCATGCAACAACGAAAACCACACCAACAACAATAGTGTTTCGTTTTAACACGTTGAATTAATTACCCGCCGGAAGTTGTTTATTTTCCTTCTTTTTCCCATTTAGCTTTGATTTTTATAAAATTTTTTAATTTTTTTTTTTGCTCTGTTTTAATTCAGTTTTTGTTGTGTAAATTCATTATAAATGTTTGTTGTTTTTCCTTATACCCATTTTTCTTTTTTTTTTTGCTGAATAAATTTTGTGTTTTTGCATTGGTAATTTTAGAGGTCAGCGATGTCGTCGTATGTATGAATGTATATATGTATATACATACATACATATATATGTTTGTATGGGGCTTTTATTTTCTCCTTTCTTTCTTTCTTCTCTACTGTCACTTGAGTATTGTTTATAATTTTGTTGTTGTTTTACATTTGCGTGTCCGTTGTTTTTGTTTTTGTTTTTGTTTATTTATTTATTTTTGTCGTTTGCTGTTGCTTTTCACTTAGCTTAATTAGTGCTTTTATACAGATGTACATATGTATGTATTCATGTATGTACCCATGTTGTATATATGTACATACCATACATATCTCTTCTGTCGCTATAACTTGCTAATAACAACAACAACAAAATTTTCTTTTTCTGCGTTTCGTTTACGCCACATTGCTCTACCTAGTCTGTTTTGACAATTTTACACGCGCGCTAATTATAAATAAATACATATTTATATGTACATACGTGGTACATGCATGCATACATAAATAAATATTATGTACTTCAATATATAATTTTTTAAAAGCATTTTTGCTACTTAATTTTGGTTTCCTGCGATTTCTGCTATCATTTAATGCATATTTATGAATCATATGTGCATATGAATGTTTGTACGTAAATATGTAGCACTGAAAAGTGTGCTTGTGCAGTATAGCGTGACTGACAGTCTTAGTTATATGTATGTATATACATATATACATGCATACAGACACACACAAATGCACCTGTAATTAATCTTGTCGCCTCTTTTCATTACTTTAAGACACTTTCGGGGTGTGAGGGGGGCTGAATTAAGATTCGCTTATGTGCAAATGTATGTGTATGTATGTAAGTAGATGTATATGTAAATATTTGTATCGATCAAGGTTACATAAATGTCGACCTTGTCCATTTCAAGCGCTTTTACTGCAAGCTGTGCGATTGTTGCTGTCATTGTATGTATGTGCGCTTTGTTGTTGTTGCTATGGTTTTTTGCTGCTTCTGCGATTTTTTTGCTTATTTATTAATTTTTTTTTAATGAATTGAACAGGTTTGTTCCCTTACTTAGTTTTTAGTATTATTTCGCATAATAAAGCAATAAATATGATTTTCAAATAAAAATCCGGAAACTTAAATAAAATTAAAATGCCAAAAAAAAAAATACAACCTAAACTGAATTGAGAACTTTTATTTCTATTGCGGAGTAATGTACGCCGTGTTCGTGTTCCATTCCCAATGCTGTTTTGAAATTCAATTAATTTTTGAATTGCGCCTTGTGTTTTCAGTGAAAATATTTTTTTGGATAAGGGTGATCTAGAATAACCTTGGAAAAAGGCGACTTCACGTTATCCTATCAAACGAGCCGCCTAAAAGTATGCAACAAAAAAGAATTTAACTTCAATTATTTGCCTGTGTGAAGAATTTAAACTTCATTTTTTGAACCTCCTCTTTGTTGAGATTTATTTGTGAATTAAAATTGTATATTTTAACATTATTATTGTTCTTTGTAGTTTGAGCGGTGTGACCTAAGGAAGGTGGGCGTTTGAATAGTTGAATTGAAGGGATAAGATAAGCTACATATGTTTTTTGGATACAAAACGTATAGGACATAAATAAACAAATAAATAGTAATAAATTTCCAATCCAATTCGAAATTCAACGAAAACCTCTCCTGCCAACAGGTGCTGAGCTTTGGACTGAGTAAGCAATTGATAAGCAAATGAACCAGAGCCTCACTCTAAAACTCTCTCATGACTCTCGAGTACAAGAATGAAAAGTTTTGCAACGGCGAATACAGCAGACGATGGAACGATGACCTACAAATATTTTAAAATATAAGTGAAAATAAAACAAAATTTTGGGGATTTCATAAACAGATTTCTTAAATGCACAATATAAAATAATATGGTAGGGGAAAAAAATGTTTCACGTATCGAAGCGTTGACGATTTACGCCTCGCTTAAAGTTCAAATCAAAAAAGTTGTATCTGTTAAAGACTTAATGTTATCAGCCTAATTCACCACGTCAAGCATAAGAGATATGATTGGAATATCTTTTGCGACATTTTTGAAATCGTTTCATAAAGTATGTGTAGAAGCCTACAAGTCAGCGTATTTAAAGCTTTCGCTCACAATGTGTTATCCATCAAGTGAAAAGTTAAGCAATTTTATTGAAAGGAAATTCTTCAGTTTTCTAAATTTTCAGAGTAAATTATTTACCAAACAATTATTCACCACATCGTGAACTTGCTCAACATGCAACTCTGTACTTATTTAAATACACAAACACTTTCGCTCTTTTTCGTACATCAATCGAATTTATAGAAGCATAGCGGCGCAAAAGAGTAGACACTATGACATTCTCAGAAGTGGAGTAAAGAGGCTTGGCAACTCTAAACGTTGCACTTGTGTCATCCCATTTTAACTACCTCCCAAACAGAGACCTGCAGCAATTACGAAAGAAATACCAACAATAGGCGAATGCGTGCGAATAGGTGTATAAGTGTTAGTAAGATTTTCATTTCCTTGCTGCGTTTTAAGCTGACTAAAGTAAAAAATTAGTGTGAAAATTTAATCTAAATTCGTAAATTTTTCGCAGAAAATTTATTGTGAAGGAAATCTCTAAATGTTAAATTGTACAAAGTGAAGTGTATTTGTATTGTGCTATAAATAAACAAATTATAAGAAAATTGCGTGCTTTGTGTAATAATATATATAAGAACATGAACGTATAAATAAATACAAGAAAAGGTATATTATGAAGTGCATGTAGTAAAAGTTCTACAATTCAATGATTTTAATTACATTAATAGTTGGTTATACATACCAATGTATGTACGTGTGCTAACAATTGATATGGATGATGTGTTTTTGTTGCTCATATGGGCTATGTATATAACATCATATATGTACATATGTATATGCATAAAGTTGCTGTAAAGTAGTGTTTTTCTTGGGTGATCTCGTCGCGCTGACATTTATATGCATGGTTTATTGTGGCAAACAACATACTTATATGAAAATTTCCTAGTGCCTTTACAGTTAATAACTGACAACAAGAAAAAGGAAATAAAAGTCAAACGAAGACAATAAACACGCAGGTCGTGGACAAAGAAATCATACGAAGTTTTGTGCGATTGCAATAGCTGCAGTATACCCAACGAGTGTTCATGCACTTGCTTTATTACAGATATATCATAATTACGTTCAAATTTTTATTTTTATTTTTTTTTAAATTAGTATTTGTGTACATATATGTAATGTAAATATGCAGTATTCCTAAAGCAGTGATACTGCCTGCATTTATGTACCAAAGTTGTGTACTTTTTACATAATACGAAGTTTATTGAAATGTGTGAAAAAGCTGAAAATTCAAGTATAAAATAAATAGATGCGGTCAAAAAAGTTTATTGACACCAAAATAGAGTCAATGGGAGCACAAACAAATGGACAAAAAAAATAAATAAACACAGCAAAAAGTGTACTCTAATTTTATATGACAATACTAATCCACGCATATGTGTATAAATATGTGTGCTTAAGTAAATTGTGCTCTATATTGAAACATAAAAAAAACTATTTTTGTTTTGCATGGTATCTGGCAACAATTCTTGTGTTTTCTTTACTGCGATTATGGCAACTCTGTTTGACATTCAATAATTGCTTTGCAATAGCATAGTGTTATCCTACTCTCTTATATATAAGGGATATTTATTTTCATTGCGAGAGCGTAATAGCTATATTGATATTTTGTGTTCGTACATTTTCTCTTATCTCTGTTTATTTGAAGTTTTTTTTTTGTTTTTAATTTCCACCAAGATTTTCGTTGATTGCCTTTGTGTTGCTGGTAATAAAAAATTGACTATTGAATTCATGGTCGAATCGTGCATAATGCAGTTAAATGTATATATATTTCGTGCTTTATATTTTCATACTGTTTAACTGGATAGGAAAAGGTGGGAAAGGATGTTGTGGAGATAAGTTCTAGTTGGCTTGTGTTTTGAAAATGAAAGCTTTGTATTTAGTGCGAAGGATAAAATATTTCTTAAGAAATTTGTGCAATTTTATAGTGATAAACAGTCTTGCAAAATATTTTCGATCGAATTGCGCACACGCGTATAAATAAAAAAAAAAACGAACTGAATAACAACAACTAACACAAAGTAGCCTTGAACTTTTTTCTCTTCACATAATTTTTTTTGACTATGCCTTTGCTCTGTTTCTTTTTCCGATTTTTTGATTATCTCAAAGAATTGGGGAAAATTTTTTTGTGTGCACAAAATTTTTAAATCATTTTAATTACGATTTTTTCTCATTATTCCCTTAAATAGAACGCAAATTTTAACTTAAAAACGTGTGGGCAATACCAAGAGGGCGTGTGTATTGTAAGATTTGCTATAAAAGCAAAGAAAGCACGAATGTGGTGCAGCGAATGAGCAAAAAAAAGTGAAAAAGTCGTCCGACAACCCAAGTAAACAATATATGCCTATATAAATATATATAAAGAAATAATTGCAGTAGGTACGACTGCGTTCCCACTTTATACACTGGTTAACTAGTCAAAGACATTTGTTACGGCCAAAAGAGGGAGGCACAAGCGATTAAATATCCACATTTGTGTCCATCATAAACGCTATCGCTGCTCCTATTACCTGAATAATATACACTCTGGCGGGTGAAGTTTAGAAAAATCAGGAAAAGCAGTCAAACATTGCAGCCTGTGGGTGACTGGCCAGGTAAACAACGGGGGTCCGAGTTTTAAGCTGCAAGGTGCTAAAATAAATTTATAAAACAGATTATATAAATACATAAACATATATGTAATTAACATTTTGGCTGCAGTGGCAAACTGGTGAAGGGAAAAGTGCAGCAGAGGAAAATGAAAATTTTCCATTAGTCAGCAAGCAAGCAGAAATATTTGTATACATACATATATAAATACAAAAAATCCTACATATTGTGAGTGTAAGATTTGGTATGAAATAACTTGATTAATTGCACAACCACAACTTCTTGGTATAATTTTACTTGCTGCTAAACTAAACACAAAAGCAAAATTTGTTATCTGCGAAATAAACGAAAACTCCCAACAGTTCCAAGTACGATAAACCAAACTGTGCCTCCAAATTAATTGCTGCCTGCTGAAGCAAAGACATAACAACAAGTAAACAAAATAAAAATATATTTATATATATACATATATAAAATAAACACTCGATATATTAAAAACAACACTGCTAAAAATATAATATGGAGTCTGATGAGGATTCTTTCGAGATGGAGAATGTTGATTCTGGGAACGTATCATCTGGCGATGAGGGTGACGAAGATTTCGGCATGGAAGTCGATATACCCTCCTCACATGATCGCCAAATGGAAACCGAAGAGTATCAATACGAAGTGCTCTCAACCGATGAAATCGTTCTACATCAGCGGGAAATTATCGATGAGGTCAACAACGTGCTCAAGGTAATTAATTATTTATGGTCATTTGCAGATAAATGCAAATAGGTATGTAATTAAAGGATTTTAGTTGTTGAGGCCACAAACCACTTGTTAGTTAATAAATTATTAACTCTTTTATGGTTGCTATAAAAATCTCTCGTTTTAGAGTTACTCAAAAAATAATATAAAGCTTAAATCGTAAAATATATTGATTATCAGTAGCTATTTACTTCGCTTATCTCCTAATTATCTGGTGTTTTTTTTCAAAAACATTGTGCCTATGTAAGCATTTAAACGTGTGGAAAGTGATATGTATATATATTTATGAACAAAAGCAAAAGCTATTTTCTTGGACTTCTCGCCGCAGAGTTCAATGAACGAAATAACATTAGATTTTAATTGGTCAGAAATAAAGAAGAAAATACGCTTCAACCAACAGTCTGCTTCCTTTAAATATTTTTGAATATATATGATAGATAGATATGTATGTAAATAGCAAATATCTTCTTATTGTGATTTAAATTATAACTTTTTATTATAATGATTTGGTTTCTCATGTGCAGCCATTTTTTTTATTTTTATTTAAAAACATTCAATTTTATAATAAAATGACTAAACGTTGTGTGAAAACCGGGCAATTCTTTTTTTCTTGAATTATATACATTTTTAATGCAATGTTTATTAAATTTTTTTTAATTTTTCAATAAGTCCAAAATAAAAAACAGTACAGCATACCCACACATACGTCGATATGATGTTTTCCTGTTGCAGTTTTCCCATTCCCACAGCCGCAATAACTTCAACACTGCAAAAATGTTGACCTTCACATTGAAGGTTACCAATTGCCAATGCTGTATTGGGATGATAATACATATAAGTAGTGTTTTTTTTTTCTTTATTGTAGCAGACGCTGCATTGAATTTAAATAAAAAAAGACACATTTAAATCACAAACCTCTGTTATATTGTAGAAAAACCTCTACACAACAACTAAGTACATATACACATATCTATGCTTGTTTGCACAAATGTATACAGCCTATTTTCATTATCCTACTCCTACAGCTCGTGAGTGACAGCGAACAGAAGTAGGGGTTCATCACGAAAAGAAAATAAAAACAAAATTCTCAATTGTGACACTCAAGTGCAGTTACGAAATATGTTACGGATGCACATACATATAGCACATATACAAAGCTTCGCTTGTGACCTATTTAACAAATTTCTATACACATATAGATAGATGTACATACATGCATTTGTTTGTTATACCAAACAAAAAGGTTGTGCAAAACTGTATGTAAAGCTTTGCAATTTTTAATTTCTCAACTCGCGATATTGAAAAATTCCCTTCCTCTAAATTTATTTCGCTTTAACGCCATAATAATCTTGTTATCGATAACTTTTAATTGCATGTAGTTTTGCAATATTTGCATTTTTTCATTCCTCCTTCCAACAACATTTTCATTTTGTTTACAAACAATAATATTTTGTTGCAATTTTATTAAAATTTTCAATATTTATGTGTTTGTTTTGTTAATACATTGATTTGCTCTGCTTGTTCGTTGGTTAGAGCGCGCACAGCTGTTGGTATGGTTCTTGCTTAAAAATAAATACTTTGACGTCAATTTTTTTTAGCCCTTTCATGCCTTAAAACCTTGCCAATTTTTTTTTGTTTGTCTTTCCTTGCTATTTTTCATAGATGATTGCACTTTTTTGACATGTTAATTGCATAACATGACATTGAAAATTAACAGTTGTAAATCGATAGGGATAAATGTTGAAATTAAAAAATTTACAATTATGCAATAGATAAATTTGTATATCTAGGTGGGCTAAGAAAGGTTTTTATAGCAAATATATGATATTTGTATATTATTCACAGTATAACCGGAATTTGTGTTTTTGTCAAGTACATTAAATAATTTCTTAATGAAAATTTGCTTTGAGATTTTATTAGTTTATTTCTTATTATGGTTGTAGCCGGTTGTTTTAATATTTCTCTCCTTTCCTTTCTTTTCTTCTTTATTTATTATATTTTTTTTGTATTTATTTTAAATATTTTTTGTTTTATTTGATAACGTTTTTTTGTATTCTCTTTTATTTTAAATATTTAATTTTATTTTAATTAAAATATAAAATACTTTTTTGTTTATTTCATTTTCATTTTATTTGTAATATTTTGAATGCTTTTTTGATGTCCTTTTTGTATTGTTTTTTACTGAATTTTATTTAATATTATTCTATGCTGAATGTTGTATTTTATGTTTTACTTTATTATTTTCTTAATTTAATTATTTTTGTATAAATAGATGTAAAAAATTAATAAAATAGTTTAAGATTGTTTATATTAATTAAAAAAATAATATACTTATTATTAATTATATTTATTTTTATTTAATTTTTTTCTTTTTACAAATATTTTTATTACTTTTATTTTATTTATATTAATTTTTATTTGATTTTTTATCTTATTTTACTTTCAGTGATTATATTTAATATTTTATATTTCTTAGATGTTATTTTTTTATTTCTTTTATGTTTATTTTATCTTTAGTTTAATTTTATATTTAATATATATTTATATTTATTTTTATTTTATTTTGAAATTTTTTATATATATTTTATTTTATTTGTTTAAAATTTTTTATCATATTTAATTAATTTTATTTAGTTTTGTTTTTTTTTCTATATAAAATAGTTTTTTTTTTATAGTTTTAGTTTTATTTTATTAGTTTTTGTATTATTTTGTTTATATTTGTTATTTCAATATAAAATTATTTTATTTTAATTTTTTTAGTCTTATTTTATTTTATAATGATTTATTTTGTTTTATTATTATATATTCTATCTTATTTAATTTTATTATCGTTCACCTAATTTTTTTTTAATATATTTGGATTTATTTATTGTATTTTATTTTTTTATATCATTCACTTAGGTTTTATATATTTTATTTTGTGCTATAAATTTTTATTTTATTTCGATTATAAATTTTTTATTTAATTTAATTTATTATTATTAAATTTTTAAGCTATTATTTCCAAAATGTATTCTTTAAATATCTCTAATAACGTGTTTTCTTCTGCCTTTTTCTTCCAGCTACCACCCACAATAATCCGCATATTGCTTAATCACTATAAATGGGATAAAGAGAAGCTGCTGGAGAAATATTTTGATGGCAATACCGAGGAGTTCTTCAAGGGTGCACATGTCATCAATCCATTCAACAAATCCACCAATCCCAGTCGACTCAAGGTATGTGCTTCCGATACATCATTTATAAACCATCTTAATTTACTTACACTCTCGCCCACAGCTGTCCAAAAATCCAGTAGAGGAATGTGAAATTTGCTTTTCTCTGTTATCACCAGATGTAAGTAAAATATTGCATTTATTCTATTTATATTTTCTTATCATGTTCTTACCATTCTCCTCTCCTCAGAGTATGACTGGTTTGGAGTGTGGCCATCGTTTTTGTTTGGGCTGCTGGCGTGAGTATTTAACCACAAAGATCATTACCGAAGGTCTCGGTCAATCCATCTCTTGTGCCGCGCATGGCTGTGATATTTTAGTCGACGACGTTACTGTTACCAAACTAGTGGATCCGCGTGTTAAAGTGAAATACCAGCAATTGATCACAAATAGTTTTGTTGAGTGCAATCAACTGTTGCGCTGGTGTCCGTCCGTCGACTGTACGAATGCGATTAAAGTGTCGTATGGTGATGCACGTCCTGTTAGTTGTCGTTGTGGTCATGTATTTTGCTTTGCATGCGGTGAAAATTGGCATGATCCAGTTAAATGTTGTTGGCTGAAAAAATGGATTAAAAAATGCGATGATGATTCGGAAACATCCAATTGGATAGCGGCAAACACCAAAGAGTGTCCCAAATGTAATGTGACAATCGAAAAGGATGGCGGTTGTAATCATATGGTGTGTAAGAATCAAAATTGTAAACATGATTTCTGTTGGGTTTGTTTGGGTTCGTGGGAGCCGCACGGTTCGTCATGGTATAATTGTAATCGTTACGATGAGGATGAAGCAAAGGCGGCGCGTGATGCGCAAGAGAAGTTACGCTCCTCATTGGCTAGGTACGATCTACTGTGTGTAATTTTCAAAGCCCGTTAAAGTGATGTATCTTGATGTTTTTTTCCATCACATTCCAGGTACTTGCATTACTACAATCGCTATATGAATCACATGCAGTCGTTGAAATTTGAAAATAAACTTTATGCTGCTGTAAAGCATAAAATGGAGGAAATGCAACAACACAATATGTCTTGGATTGAAGTGAGTCTAAAATTATAGTCATCTAATCATTTAATTAAATGTTTTTTTTTTAAACACAATTTCTCATTCTAGGTGCAATTTTTGAAAAAGGCTGTCGACATACTCTGCCAATGCCGTCAGACACTCATGTATACATATGTGTTTGCCTATTATCTGAAGAAAAACAATCAGTCAATGATCTTTGAGGATAATCAAAAGGATTTGGAATCAGCAACAGAGAAATTGTCTGAATATTTGGAACGTGATATAACTTCAGAGAACTTGGCTGATATTAAACAAAAAGTACAGGATAAATATAGGTGAGTGTGTAATGTTTTTATTTTTATTTTTTTTTTTTGTTTTGAAATCAATAAAAAATTGACTGCAATGTTGACTAACCAGGAGTCGCGTAGGATTATGTCAAAGTTATCAGGGAAAGTAGTAGTTACTTCCATATAGTTTTCAGTTGTTGCGCAAAACTTATTTCAAAAATGAAAAATATAGGCTCGAAAATTTGATTTTAAACGTTTTGTGAGTTTAATTTTCTATTTTAAATTACTTGAGTAACACAATTTTTTCTAATTCTTTCTTCCATTTATTTTTGTTTATTATTTTTAGCCAAAAATTTCCAATTTTTTTTCTTTGCATTTTGTTTTGAATTGTTAAAATTTTACAAGTTCACTTAATATTTTTGCATTATTTGTTTCCATTTCTGAATTTTTTAACCTTGTATAAATTTTTATCTTTATTATTTTATTTTTATTTTTTATAAATTTTCAATAAATTTGTATTGTGGTGTGGCATTTTGGTATTTTTTTGACAACTAATATTTAAATTTACTAACTTTTCGTTAGTTGTTGGTTTATAATAATAATTGCTAATTGATTATATTTTTCCTATAAATTTTTTCGAATAACATTTTGATTATAATTTTTGTACGTACGTACATATATATTCTTTTTTTTTGAAATTGTTTTACACAAATATATTAATGTTATTATTTTTTTAAAATTAATTATTTTTAATATAAATTTTTGTAATATATAAATTTTGTATAATATATTTTTTAGTAAAAAAATATTTTTTAATATTTTTTTCTTGTAACAAAATTTTTTTATAATTAATTTTTAATTTTTTAATAGTTTAAAAATTTTCGATAATGTTTTAATTACAATTTATAATATTTTCCATATACATACATACATAACTTTCTTTCTAAAGATGTTTTCTTATAATTTTACCGAATAAGCTCTGATAATATTTTTATATAATTTTTTATTTCATTGTTTTTCTTTTGAATTTTTTTTATAATATTTATAATTTTATAATTATATTTATTTACTTTATATATTTAAAATACATATATTAAATATATATAATATATTATATATGCATTTTTTATATATTTAATATTATTATTAAATTAGCTTATTTATATTTTGATATTTAATAAATTTTTATATTTTTAAAATAATTTTATTTTATATATCTTAAAATTTTTACCAAATAATTGTTTGGTTATTTTTTATAAATATTATTTTTTTTTTATAAAAATTCCATAATATTATTTTTATTGCCGTTAAACTTCTGTTATTTTAAATTTATGTTATACTTATATATATATATGTATATATTGTGATTTTTCAAAATTATATTTATCGTAATATCTAATAACTCTCTCTCCTCTCATAGATATTGCGAAAAACGTCGCAAGGTGCTGTTGGACCATGTACATGAGGGCTACGAGAAGGAATGGTGGGAGTATACAGAATGACGCGAATCGTGGATGGATGATTAAAAAGCATCGTTAAAAACAGAAAAACAAAACAATATTTTCATTAAATAAACCAAGCAGCAAGCCAAGACATAGACACAGAGCTCGGGCGGAGGCAGCAACCTGAAAAAATGAGAAAAAACGGTTATCCAAATAAAAATGTTTGAAAAAAAAAATATATTATCATAAAAAATATAAAACCAAAAATCATGAAAGCGCAGCTCCCATATAACAGCAACAAAATCTCAATGAACAGGGCTTGGGAGGGAAGTAGTATGTTGTAGTGGTGGAGGTGGTTGGACGAAAGACAACAACAAATGCTATCAATGCAAATGTACTTGACATATTACAGTAACGCTTGAAAGCAATATAGCAACAACAAAAACAACCAAACACCAATAATCACCAATCAACAACATGAACAGTGCAAGGAGAAGAAGAAACAAAAAAAAAACTAATTTTATTCACAAGACTTAGTTGCATTAATTATCATTATTATCATTATATAAATTTGTAATAAGTAAATCACGTAAAAAACAGCGAACTTTCCGCCTCCCCCCCCCCCCTTTGGGCCTGTACGTGTATGTCAANAAATTTGTAATAAGTAAATCACGTAAAAAACAGCGAACTTTCCCCCCCCCCCCCCAAAAAAGTAGAAAAATAAGGAATTAAACAAATCATATTTAGCAATAGAAAAGCATAAAACAAAAAAAAAATAAGATCAAATACAATTATATATGGATGTACATACATATGTATGTACGAGTATATGCGAATTACGATTATTTAGACAGTTTAAAATGCTCTTCTTCCCTCATTGATTGAATATTTTTTGTTAAAACAAGGTGAAAAGTAACTTCAAACGATTTACCGCAATATTGGTTTGCATACGCTCAGAAACTCTGAGGCGACGCATGCGTTAGGAGTTGCATTACACGATGATTTTTCCCCCAGCCTGTTTATAAATATTTTTCCTGTTTTTGGCCTACCCCAGTCGTCGAAAAGCTTGCTGGTTTCGTTGGAAACTCTCTTTGATTGGTTCTAATCATGCAAATTTGCTTTGTGTGTAGTTTTGTAAAGCCAAAATAAGTAAAGTGTGGAAATAAGATGCCGAATGACAGCAACAAATGCTTTTAAGAAAATTTTTTCTGCTGAAGGCATAGGAAAGTTTGAAAAATCCGACGCCTTCCTGCAGTTTTCGTATCACACACACACAGCCGCGCACCCCTACACATGCGCATACGCCCAACTTGGATCTTTATAAAAGATTTATGTTTAGAAGGTTGAAAACAAATTAAAATTTGTAATCGTTTTGTGTTCTCTCTAATAAATAGATAATAATTTCTTTTGAATTTAACTAAAATGTAGAAGAACGCAAAAGAGAAATGTTAAGTTTTTTATGTTGAGTTTTTATTTGTAGTTATAAAATTTCGTTTGTATTCGAAGAAACAAAAAAAAAAAAAGAAAACAATGAAGAAAACACCGTCATATAACATTAAAACAACACCAAAAAGAAAAATGTACGCCAGCACCAGCGACCATAACAACAACAATTTCGCAAAAAAACATTGAAATCAAAAAAGGAAAGAACATAAGAAAATCTAATAAAAATTTACAACTAAACAACAACATTGAGCGCGAAAACAGTAAATAGACAAAAAGAGAAATTTCGCAATTTTCAATTTTTTTTTTTTTCTAAAAAAGCTGAGAAGCATGAAAATTGTAGTTGAATTTGCATGTGTACATATGTGTGTCAGCCGCATAAAATTGGCAGTACTTATAAAATAATTTAAAAATTATTTAAAAAACAATAACAAATTATTAAAAAAAAAAATTCCACGCAGAGTCCACAAAGAAAACAGAAGCACATACACAAATGTATGTATGTATACAAACGGTTATATCACTAGCTGTTATTTGTAACTTGTTTCAACAACAAAAAACAAAAAAACACATATACATATGTACAACACAAAACCAAACAAATAAAACTAATTTGATAAAAAAAAATTCAATTTTAGCGTGCAAAATAGATTTAAAAATTTAATAAAACTTAAATAAGTAATAAATATGTAGCTGTAAAAAAAAACTGCGAGCCACTATATACATACATACATAAATATATATTTGAAAAGAAAGAAAAAAACACAAACAAACACACATGCATATATATATAAATAGCAAACACCAACACAATAACAACCACAAGCAGTAAATATTAAATATAGAATAACAAAAATTAAATAATAATAAAAAATATAAAATAACATAAAAAAAGCATTTGGCGAAAAATTAATTACTCATGTTGAAAATTAAATGCAAAAGCAAAAAAAAAACGTTAGACGATAGTGGAGATATACTGAAAATTTAAAGCAACACAATATTTAGTATTGTAAATTATTGGCATTCGTGTTTTATTTTAGATTATATTCTTTTGCGATTCAGCACTGACAAAAGCATGATCTGGCTAAATAAGGCCGGTTTTGAGTCGACTGGCTTAGTACATTTTTTATAACGTCAAAATTTAACTAATTTTTATAGCAATCGAAATTTTGTGCAAAAAGTGTGGTTAGCCGAAACTAAATCTTTTTATTTTTTTATAATTTTTATATATTTTTCTTTGTATCGATTTTTCCATTTATTTTAAAATTTTTTATATTTCATCTTTTTTTTTTAATTTCTATTTTTACAATCTTAATTTTTTTTGTAATCTTTAAATTTTTAAGATTTTTATATTCCTGCTTTATTTTTTAATCTATAATATTTCTATTTTACATTGTATTTTATTTTTATTTTCTTGCATTCCTTTTAATTTTTATTTCTTGCATTACTTTTTGCAAATTAATTAATTTATTTTAAAATTTTTATTGGCTTTTAATTTTCTTGTAGTTTTTTTATTTTTTTTCTTTATTTCTTTTATATTTACATTTTTAATTTTTTTATCTTTTTTTCGTGCCTTTGTCGTCATGCTTTGTCTCACATATAGGATATTTTTTTTTATTAAACAAAATGCATTTTTTTGAATTTTTCAATTTAAAATTTTCTTTTTCTTTGCAAGCACAGAAATCTTTGTCTAATTAAAGAAAATGTGAAGTCTTCATGAAATAATTTTTTTATTATTGTAAAAAAAAAAATAAAAAAAAAACGCTATCTGCATGAGTTAATAAAATTTAAAAAATGCAATACATATAAATACATACACATAAATACATATATAAATTTCAAATCAACTCCGTCACTAGTAAACCGGCGCTGCATTGGCGCTATGAAAGACATAAATTAACTGAACAATAATATATATATATATATATATATATATAGCGTTAATTAATTATATATATATAAATATATATATATTATTTTAGTATATATAATATACTATAGAAAGCAATTAAGTTTAAATTAAAAAAATAAAAAAAAACAATTCTCATATTTCATTGCATTACACAACTCTGTAACCAAGATCCAATGTCCATTCAATCACCTTTGGTTCGCCTCCACATACAAACAAACAAACATATTCAAAAACAAAAAAAAAACACGAAAACAACAACAAAAATCTCGCTAGTTATTAACCAACCATCCATTCATTCTCAATCATTCTTTTCAGTATACTGCATAACGGTAAACACTAAAATATAGCAAAAGAGTAGAAGAAAAAAATCGCAAATTTTATTATAAGCAACATAACACAATAAAGGTATAAATAATTAAAATAAAATAAGTAAAGTTTGAATTTGAAATTTTCTTGAAAAAAAAGAAAAGAATATGATAAAAAAAAAAATGAAATAAAAAAATGGTCTTCGATGCTTTAAACTTTGTGTAAATAGTTATTAAAAATTATTAATTAATTAATTAACTAAAGCAGCAAAAACATCAAAGCGAGTACAGTCGAACAGAAAAAAATAAATAAAATTAAAGAAAAAAAAAATTAAAATAAAAAATAATAAAATAAATAAAAAGAAATTTATATGGTATTTTATTTTTAATTATTTTTTCTTTACTTTCTGCTGGGTGGTGTTAAGTAAGTTTACGGGAAGCCGTAATGTTGGCTAAAATATTGTTTTCTTTCCAATAGCCAACGAATTTTATTGATGATGGCGACGAAAATTACTTAATAATGATGTGTTTGCTTTGTTCTCCCTTGAATTGGTAAGAAATTTGTATTGTATATTCATTCTGTTGTTGTTCGTTTAAGCAGAGCAGAGGCAGAGCATGTTATTAACAGAGGAAGTCAATATTGCAATTCAATTCAGTCATTTGTCATACTCCAACTGATTATCTACAAAGTGCGTTAAAGGGTTGACCGCAAGAGAAGTTGCCCTCCATAAAGTTCTGGTAAAAAAAAACGGTATCCATACAGTTAAAATACAAGAAAAAATACTCAACAGAAATACCTGTAGGCAGCTGTATTTTGCCGTCTCTATTCACAGAGGAACAGAGGAAGTAGGCAGGCGTTGCATACTTATAGGCGCATCAATATGAAAAATGACTAATTTCCACTAGTTACTTGTTCTGCGATCCCAGTATAAATCGAATCAAATGAAATTACATGAAAGAAAAAAATTAAATTGAAATGAATTTAAAAATTATAATAATAAATAGAACAAAAACTTAAAAATGAAATAAAATAAAAGAAAATGAAGATGAAAAAAATAAAAATTAATTCAAATGCGATGAAATAATAAATATAAACAAAATAAGAAAATAAATAAAATAAACTCACGTTAAAAAAATTATAATAAAAAAAAAATTAAAATAATAAATTTCGTCAAAAACAAAAAAATTTTAAATAAAATAGTTTATATTTTCAAAAAAAAATAAATAAAAAAAATTAAAATAAAAATAAAATGACACGAAAAAAAAACAAAACAAAAAAATAAATAATTGAATTAATATGGAATAAAATAATACAAATTGCGGTAGCACTCGGCCGGAACTATCAAGTCCTCCGGGGTTGACTTTGAAAATATTATAGGTCCCTAAATAGAGAATTACTTTGTGTAAAACCTTACAGAGTTCCACCCCCAATGCTAAATATCCGCCCAATTTTCTGATGTAGGGCATCAATTCTTTACACAATACTTTAAATAGCACCTTGTATGCGATATTGTCCCGATTTATGATATGATGAATTGGTAGAGTTCCTTTCCGCTAGACCATATTTTGCTAAGGAGCTGAGGCCAGGCACGTCCTAGTTCATTGAATAGTTGAACTATCTATTGCATTGTGTTCTAGTAGGGTCAAACTTCACGCAACTGCGTTCCTTTTTTAATAAAGCAGTCACAGACGTGTTCCGTCCCTTCTTTTCAGTTCATCGCTTCTTTAACTTTGAAAATGCTCCACTTCGCCTGTGAACGTATGAGAAGCACTCACTCATCACTCATGTCCCAGTCATCTACATCTAACTGGTAGTTTCTTTTCACCATGGACTTCCCGGCCGACACCAATCTGGCCTTTCAAAGGTGATGAGAGATGCAGAGACGCCCTCTTTGTCCCGGACGAGTTCTGAGAACTGTTCTTTGCCTTCGCAGAGCACTTCGATTCAGTTTTATTCCCTCTCTCTCCACATACATATATATACATATACTTACGGAGGTTCCTCAAAATGAATACACTTTTCCATTAATCGTTTTTTTTTTGTTCTTAATTCAAACGTTTTTATTTAAAATATGAAATTACATTTTTATAATCGTTCACTTTGACACATTTTTAATTTACTTTTGGTATTTACGTGTATACATACATATTGACTTATGTAGATTTTATTACTTTTTTCTGCTTCATTTGTTACATTTTAATTATGTATAAAGTATTTTAAACGGTAGTTACATACATATATATTACTATATATTTGTATATATATATGTATATATATAATATATTACATGGCTAGAAAATTTACAACAAGTTCCTAAGCGATATTACTTTAGTACTTAGATATGTGTATGTGTGTGTGTATGTTTAACCCAACATGGCTTAAAGAAATTCGTTAGTTCCGAGTATTTTTTTGAATTAAACTCGTACCACCACCACTTCCCCTCTACTCTGCTACTCTTCCACTCTTCACTTTTTCTACAAGTTTCCGCATTCCTCACCACCTCCACGTTCTCTCCGCTTAATTCAATTCTTTGCGCGTCGTGTTGGGCAACATCAAACACATGAGACCGCCGCCGATCAATAGCGCGGCCACAATGAACGTCGGTGCTGGACAATAGTGATCCAAGAGTGTGGCAATCACAATATTACCAATGATGCCACCCATACGCGCCGCCACCATAGATATAGCCACACCGGTAGCGCGCAAATGTGTCGGGAAGACCTCGGTGATGAGACAGTCGAGCGCCGCATTAGCCGCTGAAATGGCACCGCTAAACACAGCTGTCACAATCAAATTCTGTGTCGAGTTCATGACGTAATACATGGCAGCTGAGCAAACGCCAGCCGTCATTGTGCCGAAGATAAGGAAGAATTTGCGACCCAACAAGTCCATACCCAAAATGGCAATCAAATTGGCGGGCAGTGCGGAGGCCAAGGACACTAGCGATTCTTGGAAAACGCTCTGCGGTATATCAGCTGAGCAGCTGTCAGTGCTATTTTTGATGTGATTCACAACAAACTTGGTCACCTCACAGACGTCGGCCTGCTTGTTGGGATGAATATTTTCGTATTCCTCGAAACGATTGAATAACTCAGGGAACCACATCATCAGTCCGTAGTAACCGATGTGAAAGGTGAAATTGATAATTATGGAGACGAGTGTGAATTTGAGAATTGGCGAAGTGAACAATTGTTTACTGTGTTCCGCCATGCTCGACATCATTTTACTGTATTTGCCCTTAACACCAGCCTGATTCTCTTTAATCTCAGCCAATAGCTTCTCATCAATATCCAACTCGGCAACGGGATATTGCTCGGCCGGTCGGCGGGTGTTCGTCACAAAGATGCCACGGAAGATGGCCATCGCACGCTCCTGTTTGCCTTTGGTCAGCAGGAATTTCGGCGATTCGGGCAGGTAGAAGAGCAGAAAGGCGACAATGAATGATGGCAGTGCGCACACCATCAAGAAAATACGCCAGGAATTGTATGTAATTAAATCCGTATGGAAGCCGATCTTGCTGGGTATGATCAACCACGCCAAGCCGGCAACGAAGAGATTACCAAAAGTCCAAAAGGCAGCCATGAAACTCAGCATGGAGCCACGTTTCGATTTCGGCTGGAACTCGGCGAAGTACGACCAAATGACCGGACCGCTGCCGCCGAGGCTGTAAGAGAAGAGAAAATAAATTTTAGTTTTTATTTATAAGGAAAATAAAAAATCACTTAAAAAACTAAGAATAATGAGCTTGAGATAATTTTAAATTCTGATATTTTTTTATTTTAACATACATACGTGTAGTTAACATTCTGAAACTTCTAATGCTAAGTGTTTTGAATACCCAGTGTTCTTAAACGGCGTTTATGATTTTTAAAAAATGAAAGTGAAATTAGTTAATTTTAAAATATTAATATTTTTGAAAAAAAAATTGAAAAAAATTTTCGAAACTTTCAATATTTTTAATTAAACTGAAAAATATTTAATTAATTATTTTTGAAAAATAAAAACATATTTTCGAAATTTACAAAAAATTTTAATTTTACTGAATTGGAATTTCACATAAAAAAAGGAAAACATTTTCTATATTTAGCGCCTTTAAAAAGCGTGACCTTCGTTCATTCACACTTACATTGGCAGCTGTTGAAGGGAAATCTTTTGTGACAAAATCACATAAGAAAAAAATAACACCTATACGCTAAATATTACAGTTTCTGCACTGATTCATTGCTTACGAAGGTGTAAACAAAAAGGGGATTTTACAAAATTAACATTTTTTCGTTTTTTTTTTGTTGTAATGAGTGTTTTAATTAAAGAAAATTACACTTTTTGTATTTTTTAACGAAATAAAATTATTGAAAACAAATCAAGCTTTGTGATTTACACACATACATGTGCCGCTACATGCATGCCGTTACGAATAGCCATACACGTATGCACAATGAACTGGTCGGCGTACACGGCGTATGAGTAACTTTTTGATAAAATTCAATAAAAAATGCAAAAAAAAATGCAAAAAAAAAATGCAATTTTCTTTTCGCACACACACACAACAATTTACCAATAAGAAATTTACTTTCAAATATTTGCTATATTTATACGATATATAAGTAATTGCCGTCATAAATATGCATAAGGCGGCGATGTGCTTAAATTCATATAAATATACAGATTGATACGTATGTACGTGTATGCGTTATGTGTTCATAAATATTCACACATAATAATTGCTGTATTTTTTTCATTGAGTGCATACATTATAAAAACGTCGATTTGATGTTGATGATGATGATGAAGATTTCGAAATTTTGTTTACAATTTACTTTTAAATGCGAGATTTTTTTTTGTTTAATTTCCACTTTTTGCTGTTTTTCATTTTGTGCAAATAAACAAGCAACGTTGTTGCATGCGTGTGTATACGTATATACGTATACATGCAAGTGAATGCTATGAAAAGCTTAAAAAATGTCTATAGCTTCATACTCACATACATACATATGTATAATATGTTTGTATGTATTATAGCACATTAACACCTTCGCGAAAGCGGTAAAAAAAATTCAATAAATATTTATATATGTATAAATAATGTGTGAAAATGTACTGTGTTTATACACTTCTATAGATATGCATGTGTATGTATGTATCTGTGAAAATAGAAAAGGCAAACGTTTGCTGGCTTTTTTTTCTTAGCCGAGACAAGTCTTCTCACATACAACACACATACAGACACTGTTATTTCGGTTACGCGCGTTAAGAAATTTTAATTTAATTAACATTAAGTCGCGTTTTATTTATTTATTTACAGCTTAGTCAGCCTCAATGCCAATGAGTAATTTTTGTGCCAAAATATTTTTGTATTTTTTACTGGATGATGATAATGATGATGAAAGTGCCGATGAGTTGAGTTACTTAGTTACTATTGAATAATAAAAATTATGATTATTTACCGTTATAACATACATATAATAAAGTTTATTTGCATTTATTGTTTACTTACGCCGCACCGTTGAGAAAGCGAAACAGCATAAACCACGTGTAGGTTTGCGAAAATGACGATGCAACAATACAAAAGCCATTCATAAATGATATCACGATGAGCACCTTCTTGCGACCCACCGCATCAGCGATACTACCCCAGAAATAGGCACCCACCATCATACCAATGAATATAATCGAATTGAGCCAACCCTTTGTGGTCGTATCCAAATTCAAATCACATTCAGCCGATGGTAGAATGAACGACATTGAAATGACGTCCATTTCCTCACTGGTACTCACCAGACCGCAAATGGCAAGTAGTATATAATGGAATTTACCATAACCGCATAATTCGATGGCCTGCTCAAAACCGGCCCGTACGCCAGTCGAACGTCGACCATCGTTTGGGGCACCGCCAGCACCTCCGCCATTGTGGCCACCACCATTAGCGCCGCTGCCGCCACCATTTATATTGTTGGCAACTACACCACCATTGGTGACCTCAATGACGGCCGCATTACCCTTTTCTACGTCATGCTTATCACCGCCAGCGCTGCTTATGTCCGTCTCGTAACCCTTATTGACTGCTGCAAATTGATATTCGGGATCTTTGCCGCCACTGCCCAATGAATAGGGCTGTAGAATGGAACGATTGTCGATCGAGTTGTTTCTGCTGCTATTGTAGTTTGGTTGGATGCCAGCCTCTACATTATAGGCTGTGTGGGGGAGAGAAAGTGAGAGAAAGCGAGATAAGATGAGAGAAAAAACGAGTTAAAAATTATAATGAAAAATTATTAAAATTTATTCTATGAATATTGAAAACTGTTACTGACGAATGAAGGAGAATTTAATTAAATTTTACTGCGGCGGTTGGCGGTACAGTTTTTTTTGGATTTAAAAATTTGTTGATGCCTATTTATAATTATTTAAAAATAAGTTAATGCTCATGCATATTTAAAAATGCACATTTAAATTAATTTTTCAGAATTGTCAGTATCACTTTTAACAAAATTTTAAGTTTATAATAAAAAGTGCAATTTTTAGTTTTTCTTTTGTACAAATTTTATGTACAATTTAATTAATTAATTGTAAAATTTAACAGTGTTTTTATGAGACTTAATAAATTATTATTTTTTTCATTCGTCAATTAATTTGTTACAAAAAAAAGAGGGAATTTTTTTTTGAAATAAAATTTCATTTTCTATTAGATTTTGGAGTTGTTCAAATATTAATTGCCCCCAGTGTGTCTTCAAAGCCTTGTTATAAATAAGAAAATTTGTTGTCAGGCCGCAGATGATTCATACAAATATAATAAATATTGCTACAAATTTCTACATTTGCATATGTACGTATGAAAATACGTGTATGTATGTGAATATAATAATTGAGTATTCAGCATTAAGTATGTAATACACGAACAGCCTTGATGCCGTTTCAATTAGATAGTCTTCATTAATTAGACGATTAAAAGCGCGCCGAGCTTAGAAAGTCGTATACAAACACATATTTTAAATCTTTATATGTGCAAATATATGCATGTGTATGCATGTGTTTATGTATGTTTGTATGTTCATACGCTGAATTTCATAATATTGATTATTTTCATTAACTTAATAAGCCAACATACAACGCGCTTGTGCTAATAACACACTTAAAATAATATAATGTGGTTTTAAATATTTTTTTCATTTTTTTTCTCCACTGTGAGTTTTTTAACAGTGTTTTTTTTATAATTCTTATGAAGCGCGAAATTTTGTATTATTTTTTGAAATTTTTTAAGCACATTTTGCAATGTGTTTTTATCACGTATAACATACATATTTTTATATTTATATATGTGTGTGTATACTTTCTTCACAACAAACATTATCAGCAGCCAACTAAAAAGGCAATACATTTGAATTTTGTACGCGATAGCAGCGCGCCTGGGCAAGGTCTCGTGTGTCTCTGTTTGTGAACTTTAGCCAACACACATTGGCTGCTGGGCGTCTACAATGCTAATCTTCACCGCCTTCAATTCTAATCTCCACATTTATATATATATATATATATATATATATATTGAGTTTATTGTTGTATAAAATAATTTTCTGTACTAAAAATTTAAATTTAATTAAATAATACATACATATATACACATACATGCATACTTACAATCACTTTTATTCTTAATCGAATCACCTTCTACCATTCTATGAGTTCGGTTTTTTGTTGGCTTTTCTCTCGCTTGAATCGAGACGAATAAAATTAAATAAGGAAAATTGAAGAAGTGAAATGAATCACCAAAAAAAATATGGTTGAGTGTTGGTTGGCGGTGTTTGTTTTCAAACTTTCCGTCTATGCGTTACTGCAGTACAACTATTTATTTACTAAAAAGTAAAATAAAATAGTCGATGACTTTGGTGTAGGTAGCGGCGAAAATATCAATTAGAATTTTTGTTTATCGATCTAAAAAGAAAATAAAAAAGAAAAAAAAAACTATAAATATTTATAAACAACAATATATTATATAATAAATAAATATAACAAAAATTTTTAAAAATAAACTTTTAATTATTATAATTATTTTTAATATATATTAATTAAGAGACAAATTTTTCTGCCAAAATTTTAAATCGTTTATTTGAAAAATTGGTAGTTTTCATGTTTATATTTGGTAAACAAAGAATTTGCATTGTTAAATATATTTTTAATTTAATATTAAATGCAGCCTGGGACGATTGTTTTAATGTAGTATTTTTCCCTTTTAACATACACAGCGCTAATATTACACTTTATTATAATTGATTAATATAATATATGTGTATTAAACAACTTGAGTTGAGTTGAGATTTACGTGTTATCAACGAGGTTCAACAACATCTGTCAACGCAAATAATGATAAGTATATAAATACTCGCTGATGTACGTGTATAATATATACATACATATGTACAAAACCATGCATATCAGCGGAGTTGGTACACAAACAAATTAAATAATAATTTTGCTAGATATTTATTTATTTAAAATTTACAAATTATCATATGTTAGCGAGAAATTAAATGTATTTATTATTTTAAATATGAAAACAATCTCAACCAAGTGCGGCTGTGCTTAGTAAAATCAGCTGTGCGCTGTAAATATTACACATCTATACATATGTACATGTTAAATGGGGAAAGTATGTCACTCCATTGCTATAATTTAAAGAAAAAAATTTAAACAAAACAATACTTGTACTCATAACTTGTTTTATATTAAATTTTATTTCATTTTTTTTTCTGGTAGAGGTGAACGCGGTTTATCAAAAGCAAAATAAAAGCGAAGTAAAATAATGCATAACCTTAGCGGTGCGTGACATATAAGAATTTACCATTTGTTAAGCGTAGAACAATTACATTGACTTACAGTATCTTTAAAAAAATTTTCATTTTGCAATTACAGCAACTTTTTTAAGCTCTTAACGGGCGGATAAGCATATTACAAACGTTAAATGTTGCTTATATTTATATGATAATGTTTGCACTTGGAATTTCTATTGGTTAATCTTATGTTCTCCATAAGTCTCGTCAACAAGACAAGAATGCTTATGAGTTAAGCCCGAGAGCATTACATAAATATGCGATAAATTGGAAAAGTACTCAATTACACCTACTCGAATAGGCACATTTAGGTATTAATTTATATAAGAACGAGGTATTTTTAGATACTTATTGTATTTTTTATTGGCAATAATTAAGTGTTCACTACAAAATTGAGTGCTTATGAGTTAGTTCAAGTGTGTGTATAGCAATTTTATTCGTTAATTTAAGTGTCAACATAACTTAATCACAGCACATGCACAGTGTTCCACTATCGCTCTTCCCTCGTTTGTTGATTAAGTGTTATTTCTTGTAATTATTATTTATACATAGTACAAACAGCCTCAGCTACTCACACTCTAAATTTGAAGTTGAGTAAACAACTAGTTTGTACTCTGTTGACGGTAAACTCGAAATTATTAAAAAAAAAAAACTTTATACTTGTTTATATAATTTCTTTGTTCTAACAATACATATTTATGTCTGAGTTGTTTGCATACTTTGGTAAACGAGCGTGCTTTTATGTAATTGCGATAATTAAAAATAGGTGCATTTACGTTAAATGCATTGCGTCTGCTAATTTTCAATTATTTATTTATTTTTTCGTGTTGTTAATTAACCCTTTTAAACATTTTATTAAGCACATAAGACCATTTGTTTAACAATTCCGGTTAAGTATTGCAAATGTATGGCGAAGAAAGTGTTGCATCAGCTGCATCAATTTGTTGTGAATGTAATTAAGTGAGCGAAAATATCAAATAATTATTTACACAGCATTTTCGTTTACTTAATACTGAATAACTTGAAAGAAATGCAGCTGTATGTATGTTTTCAATTATTTTATTGCCCATGATATGCAAAAGCTGGGGTTTTTGTTTTGGTGTATTGATTGGAGTTCCGCAATTTAAAAGTTGTAACTGCTGTGAATAACCAGTTAATGTATTCTTAAGAATTTTAATACCCACTGGCAGTAGCATTGTCTGTAAATTTATGCATATAAAAAGTGCTATAAACACATTTCACTTAAAAATCTTTAATCTTTGTTAGTTTTTGTCAAAATTTGCAAACTCATGCAGTAACAGCTATGTGTAAACGGTTTCCTTTGCATGTTTTCCTTTTCCGTTCATTTTTGCTTGTCAATACATGTGCAGACTGCAAGGTGGAACGGATATTTAAAAGTACTACAGGACAGGGTGGTTGCTATGAATATATTATTAAATGAAGACTTGTTTATTATTTGAACGAAATGTATATACAAATAAATAAGGAAGTGAATGTATGTATGCAAATGCATAGCTTATGCTTCATTGCTTATTTGTTGCAGCATTGCATATGTCATTCGTTAATGAGAAAATCGATCATTTTTATTTTTAATACATGCAAATAGATAGATATGTAAATTTATTTGTCGCAGCTAATAATAATTTGCCTAAGTGTCTTTTCATAGCATATTTGAAGCAAATAATGCTTTTATAAAGACTTATTTTTTTTTCTTATATTTATTAGTGCGACACTTTTAATTTGCAACTTCTTTTCATATAACACACACTGTTCTGAGGTGACATTTGTTTGTGCCGACAATGAATTGCTTATTTTGCTAACACAAAAAATGTGACAATTATTGCAAAATTAGTAGTAATAGTTAATTTGAAATATTGAAGCAGCGTGTTTACCTATATGGATATAAAAAAAATTAACAATAGTGTTACAATAAAACGAAAACTAATTATATGCAGTCAACAAGTTCCTGTTTTCCTTCATTTGGAATTTGTCTACGATTATGCGAATGTACAAACATAACTGAGAACATAAGCAAATGTATGTTCGAGAAATTAAATTAAAAAAGAAAGAAAAAAACAACAACAAAAGTATGTTAGAGAGATGCCATTACAGCTGCTTAGAGTACAATAAAGTTGTCGTTTAACTTTTATTTAAAACAAGAATAATGCATTGAGCAAATAAAGGCGTCAGCGCTAATCAGGTGCATTGTCAGCTGTTGCACCTGCATTGATAGATTAATGCTGCCGGTGCGCATAATGAAGTGCAGATTTGAGTATGTGCGTTATATATATATGTAAAGTGTTGTTTGTAGCTAATAAATAAAAATATTTGTGCATAATATTTTAATGGATAAAACTTGTTTTCACAAAAACCCTACGCGTATTGCTTTTTGTTAGAAAGTAAGCTGAAATCATGCAATAAGCTTATTAGAAGCGCATTAAGTAAATACCAGCTTAATTAGGGTATATGATTTGAACGCTTTAATTAATTATTGTGCATAAAATAATACTAGTAATTACTTTATATAAGTATGTGCTTATACTGAATATTTCAAATATGGCGAAACCTGATTTAAAATTTGTTACAATTTTTCTATGCTGCAGAATACCATAAATGACATTGAAAAAATTTTAATTTTTTTTTTTAATTGTGTAAGTGTGTATAAATATGTGTATGTGATTAATAAATCGGAAAAATAATGGCAGAGCTACGTGTAATTATTATTTATATGAAGAGCGCTTTGTAAATAAAAAGTAATGCAAGCGAATAGTGACAAAATGCGAAGTGAGCTGTGTTTCATTCATAATTGAAATGCTAATATTTGGCACAGTGCAGAGATTTTACACTAAACTTTCCAATTAACGCTGCCAGTTGGATAACAAAATCGTACAAAGCACTAAAGTGTGCTAAAAAGTCTCACAAATTTTTTATTGTGTCTAACATATCTCCGTATGCGAAAGTGCGGACATTGGGAAGTCGGCAATATGAAAATTTTCCTCAACAAAAATGAGTATATAATTTACCAGAAATGTATTTAAAAGAATTCTACAACAATTTTACACTATATTTATAGCAATTTCAATTATTGAAAATTTATTAATGAATTATTAAAAAAATTTGGTACTAAACATTCCGCACAACACTACGTTTTTATTATTTATAATAATAATGGAGAATGTCAATATTATCGTTTTCTTTTTTATATTTTTGAAATGCCTAACTCGCAATTTATTTGTCACGTTTTGCTTACGAATATTTGATAAATAATTTCACATTAATGCACGTTTGTGAAAAATTTTCATCAATTACCTTTCGTTTTGCACTTGTTTATTGAAATGATTATGGCGTTTACTATTTAGCTTTTGTCTGCCGCTCCTTCAATTTACTTATTTTTATTCGCTTTTATTTATTTAAATCAGCAAAATAATATAGTTTTACTATATTTATTTATATTACCAACACCTTTGTTTGATTTCAAACAGAATGGGACAAATTGAAGCTTTCGTTATGTCAATGAATTTTCGTATTTTTTAGTTCTACGTGTAGTCTTTGTAAAATCACAATATAATTGCACTTTGTTGTTGTTATTATTATTGCTACTGTGGTATTTGCTTAACGAAAACATGAAGTTTTCAAACACTTTACACACAAAACACTAAACCTGCTATTATCATACGCACGCGCATTCGAGACGAAAAAATAATTTGTGTAGAATTTTTTGAATATTTGTTTTTTAATTAAGAAAAATTTCTAGAGCTTATTCTAAAAAACGCGTTTCGTCGTGCACACAAATCAAGTGTGCGCGAATCAATTGTATAAAATTTCTTGTTTTGTTTTTTTTTTTTTCTGTTGAGAAACTGTGTTTACTTATTTACTGATTGCTGATTTCTTTCTTTGACGTACCGAATAAAAATGGACCGATCGACCGCTGCTGTGTGGGCGCTTTTGATGTTGCGTTGATACGCGTCGAATGCGCTATACTCCACTCAGTACAATGTCAGTTGCTTAAATATTAACAGCGAAACAAATGCGTTGCGTATTGGGACGAACGATCGACCGGCTGTTGGAGGAATCTCTCGCTGAGTTGTGATGATGTGTGTGTGTGTGTATGTATTGGTGAAAATGAAACAAATGTAGCGCGAAAGCACAGTTACTTTCATATCACACACACACACACACACACACACACACACAAACATCAACACGGAGCGAATGACACTTGAAACGGAACGAAGCGCCGAAACGAAATGGAAAATTAAACGAGTTGTTGCCTTAGCAGGATGAAGGGTATAGCGAGGATGTTGAATGTTTATTAATTAATTACGAATCGGTTAAATGAGAAAACAAAGTGTTTAAAAAATAATAATCAAGCAACAAATACATACATACATACACATGCATGAAAGTAACAAATTGTATAATATATACGAACTATACCGCAAGTAGCGACAATAGCCATGTGTACTTGCGCTTACCACAGAAAAAGCCATTTATTATACGTACGAATAGCTGGCGCAGTGTTGATAGCATTTGTAATTGAAAGTTTCTCGCAAGCGCATGCTAAAGAACTGCGGTGAGGGTTTCGGTGCGATAGTGCAATTTTTATGGAGATTAAATACGATCATACCATGAGCGATTAACTACAGCCGCCGCGAGGAAGCAACAAATTGCAATGCGGCACGTGCCGTTGATGGCGCGTACAGAAAAAAAACTGGTCGAATAAGATCAAAGTGTCGATTACGAAAACATAATTTCGACAAAGAATTGATTTGCCGCTGTTGACAATTAATTTATGCTTGAAATTTGCAAATAAACACTAGTAAATGTAATTGAAAATAGAGTGAGCGGCAGTAGTGACATTTACACGTGTATGTAGTGCACAGGGTGTTACAAGTGCTAGTAATTGGAATAATATTTGTGTATGATTGAGCATTGATGTGCATATACATATTAATTTCATGCAATATACGAGTACATATGTATATTGCAACAATCAATTCTCACCTTTCATACATACATATGTGTGCATGCATGCATACACGTACATGATTTTATTTTTATATATTCATAATAGTAACTAAATTAAAAACAACGCTGTAACAGCCGCTAATTGTCTTTTTCACACAAATTGTGTGCAAATCAAATCATTTGGCGGGAAAATACTAAGTTGCGCTTGGCGCAAGAAGTAAAATGCAAAGTGTAGCAAAAAAAAAACAGACAAACAGCAAACTAAAAAAACGATAGCATGCAATAATTGAAATACACATTTACATGTAAACAACTTTTTAAATATATGTATATTGCAGAATATGCATAAAAAATAAATAATGCTGTTGGCGCTGTGCTGCTATAGTTGGATTTTAATTTAATTTTAATAAATATGAAAATTTTTTTTAATAGCAATGTTTATCTTTCTGAACATGTAACTGCGCATTTATGCTTGTGACTTGGAGGAAATCATGTAGATAAGTTTGCAACAAAGTGAAAAATATGTTTTTTTTTATATAAAAATAAATTAAAAATAGCACAGCTAGTGGAAAACTGCTGCTTACAGTTTTCTTACAATTATCTTGTTCGATATTTTTTTTTTAATAAACTGTAACTGTACCCACTGCAAATCTTAGCGTTTTACAAATTTACATATGAAAATTATTTTTAATTGTTTTACTCTTCAAAATATGCTTATCTAAAAGTGGCAATTCTAACTGCTTTGGAAAATATTTTAATTAAATATAAAATATTTAAAAATATCAATATTTACGTTGAGTCACTAAACTTGAAAATTGAAACTAATTAAATGTAACTACATCTGTATGTTTGCAATATATCACCGACGTGCCCCTAAAATGGTCTCAAAGCCTGACAACTCTAACAATTGAAAATTACCTACGCTTTACAATTTTCTTTAATTGCTTTGTGCTTAAAATAAATGTTCTATAATAATTATATTTTAAACATATTTGGGCATTGTTGGACATTTTCTAACGCTTCAGTGATGCGCAACACACGCACACGCATATACACAGAGTATGGCTATATTACAAAGTCCGTGCAAACAACCAGGGACGCACATCCGCCAGCATTATCACCGTAAGCCTATTGTATACAAATATTAGAATTTTGATAGGTAACTGTCAAATCCAATTGCTCTCATTATTCTTTTGTTAAATTTAATTGTATGCATGATTTTGTGGTTAAGTGAATATTTGTTTGAACTAAATTTATGTAATAGCATTTTATAGAATAACAAAAGGTTTTGAAAAAAAATTATATTTTTAATAAATATTTGGGGGAAAAATCGAAAATATGAGTAAATTGATTGCTAGTATTGGAATGTGTTTGAAATACGTTTGCTGCCTTAGCTGCAACCATACATATGCATTTAAATGTTATAAAATTTTAAATTTTCATTTTTAAATTTAAATCGAATATTTCAGAAAATTACTTCTTTTTGTAATATTTTATATATTTATTTATTTAAAGTGTACGGAAATGTTCTTAATAAATTTATTAATCGCATAAATACTGGTCACATCTTTATGTAAATTTTATTGTAACTTTAAATAATTTAAATTTGCATACACTTTGTCTTGAGTTCCGAAGGGGCAAATACAACTTTCAAACCTGTCAAACTAGCAGCTGACTAAGTTTTTCAGTTGCTTTAACTCTTAAGGTAGAGAGAGTCAATTAAGAACATCAATGAAGACAGCAGCGTATAGGGAAATTTCCTTCACTTAAGCTCTGCCCCTTTTTGCCCTTTTTTCCCGCCTGTCAACCACAAATCAAGCTCACTTGCCACTTTTAACTCACTTTCATGGAAACTCCACACAGTAGCAGCGGTAAGGCAGTTATAAAACAATAAATCACAATTTGAAAGTTTATCTCTCGTTGAAACTCTTCCTTTTCACTTTTAAAATAATCTTACTTTTTTCACTTTTTCCCCAAATTTCCATGACTGGCGAACAACGCTTGTCCCTGTCAGTGTGTAAAAATAGCAACAGGTGCAGTACTGCGTTGCGCTGCTACGCGTATGCAAATACAGTATGTATGTATGTATGTGGGTATGCATTTTTAAGTACGAGGCTTATTTTTTTTATTAAATTATTATGTAAACAAATGTGTTCCTACACATTAAATACATATACAAACATACATATGTACATATGTGTATTTTTTGAAATTTTAGGCTCATTAATTTAAAGAAATTTTTGCAACATTTTGTAATTTCAGTTAAAAATAAACACGTGCTTTGAATTTGCAGTAGTTTTGTTTGTGTATTTTTTTTAGTACCAACCGACTGTCCAAGCGATTAAATTTATCGATAGACGTAAACGGGAAAAATACAGGCGACTCATATGAAAGGAAAAAAACGCAGTTGCAAATATGCCTAGGCTGGCAATGCACGATATTTGCATGCAACTGTAAACAGCAATAAAAAAAGTGTTATCAAACAGCTGTCGTACGGCAATGAAATCAACAAAACGAATTGGGTGGTAAAAAGTTCTCCAGCAAAGTTAATAAAAATGTGTTAATTTAAAATCTATAAAGCCCAAAAGTCAGCTTGTTAAGTTGTATAATTAGTTAATAAAAACGTACATACGTATAGTATAGAATATCTATGGCGAATAAAACCGGCTTGATGCACAGAATCAAATAGCGCAGTACACAAAACTGAATTCTTTGTTTACATTTGTATATGCAATTATTTGTGAACATTTTAGTGCTTTTTTCTGAGCAGGTTTTTTCGTTGATTTCATAAACGGAGAATGAGATAATTGTAACGAAAGCAGAAAATATTAAAGAAATATTTAAAAAAAAAAAAAAAAAATTAAAATATGCAAACTTGTGTGCACTTAACTTGTTAGTCTCACAACATAACATTACGTATTAAGAAATAATAACAAAGAGTTCTACCAAGTCACTTAAATATATGTATATATGTATATACATAAGTAGTAACCGCAGCAGCCCTTCTGACAAAAAACAATAGCTATTGACCTTAAAAAATCTCAAATTAACAAATTTTGCCGTTTGTGCGAAGATTAAGTATTTTTATTACTTTCAACACATACATATGTACCAATCTTAAAACGCATAATATTATATTTCCTTGCTGAAGCGCAATCAATGTATGTACCACCGCCGGCACGCCTCTTTCGCATCGATATAACTTTTTTTTTATTGGCAAAAAGTACCTTTATTACTGAATATGGAAAATTTTGCATACCAAATTAGCATACAAATAATCAAAGCACTTAAGAAATTACGAAAATGCAGTTTGGCAAGAAATGTAAACACTCGTTAAAGGAAGTACCCTGTGCTGTGTGCCTGCACGTATTGATGCATGCATGGGTGTGCGTGTGTGCGGAATGTCATCACACGTTGAAATAAAAAAATGTCATAAGAACGCGTTGTGTTACAATTGAAAATTATTTATGTTAAATTATTTTGAAAAAAGGTGTGTTTTAGTGTATTCGTACATTAATATAACACATACACGTACATATAAATGCTCTCGTGTGTGCGCAGCAGCACATTAACATCGTTTATTGAATTGTACAATATAATTATTTTCTTCTTTAGTCTTTGCATTTTATAGTTCATGCAAATCCAAGACAAATATTGTTAAATTCTTTACGCTCTGCATTGCTGATTCAGCGTTTACTTATTTTGTTGCTTGTTGTCGTTGTTGTGCAGCGCTTGAATGAAGCGTGAATGGTAAGCAGCACAAATAATGCGTTGTTTGCCAAAACTAATTAACAAGGAAAAGGGCAGGTTAAACTGTGTAAAATGTGCTTTCAGTCAAGCAAATTTTGGTTATGCA